CAGGGCAAGGAATTGTGCTGTCACACAAACCCACTGTCCAGACAGGCTCGCGGAACCCGTGCGGGGGGTGCGGCTTTGTGGTGCTGCACCTTAAGGAAGAGACAGGGTTGGGGGTTGGAGAAACTGGAAGGCCAAACTCCAGGACCCTGAGCCTGGGCAGTTTCCAGAGCTGCTCCCTGCCTCTGGGCCCGGAACAAATCACTTTCTTCCTCTGTGACGCCATCTCTTTTTATCTGCCCAGTGACCTCCTCTGTGCTGGCCATTGGTGAGAATAGATGAGGAAAGCCACCTGCCAGAAATGGAGTGTTGCAAAACGTGGTCTCATTATTACAGATCTTGACATCATCCTTGAGAAATTCTGTCAGCTTTGCCTCATTCATTTAATCATAAATGTAAGCTTGCCTTTTTAAAAAAATTTTTTTTTGTTTTATTTTTTATTTTGCTTTTTATCACCCCCCCCCGCAACTGTTTCCGAATTTACATTTTTCTCCCTGTAAGAAAAATGATAATCTTCGAATTGGCATTTGCAGTGTCCTCTCCTCTTCTTGTTCTGGAAGAGTGTACTGGTGTTAAAGAGGACTAACGTCCTACTATGTGAGGTCCAAAAGCACCACCAACGATGAGCACAAGATATCACATCACCATGAACTTATGTGTCAACTGAGATTGAGATACATTTTTCTTTAAAATATGTGGGAGTCTCCCTGCCAATTAAGGATCACTGAAATAATTGAGCGGCTGCTGCCTGAGGTTGAATCTGAGATGACATTGGTACTCTAACAGCTTTACTGAAGCATGATTATATGCCATAAAATTCACCCATCATAAACATACAGTTCAATGAGTTCAGCACATTTAGAGCATCGTGTAGCCATTACCAGCAAACATTTCCATCACTCCAAAAGGAAACATTGGACCGGCTTCTGGTTACACCCACTGCCTCCTCCAGCGCTGAGCACCTGCAGATCTGGACTCTATAGACTTATCTTTACTAAGCTTTTCATCTAAGTGGAATCCTACAATATGAGCATTTGTACATGGCTTCTTTCATTTAGTCTAATGTTTTTGAAGTTTATCGATAGCGTCACTTGTATTCAGAATTCATTCTTTTTCATCACTGTGTAGTATTCCATGATAGGGCCCTATCACCATCTGTGGCCTGTTCACCAGTTGACAAACATTTGGGTTGTTTCCAGTTTGAGGCTCTCGTAAGTGGTGGTGCTATGGATCTCTGCACACATGTCTCTGGGTGGACATGTTTTTCTTTTTCTTGGGCAGATTCCCAAGAGCAGAATTTCTGGGTCGGCTGGTAAGTTTATGTTTCACATTTCAAACAAATTGCCAAACTGTTCTCCAGCATGGCTACTCCATTTTCTATTCCCACAGCAAGGAATGAGGGTTTTCGTCTCTCCACACCCTGGCCAACATTTGGTATTAACTACTTTTAAAATCTTAGCTATTCTAGTAGGTACATAGTGGTTTTAATCTGTATTTTCTTAATAACTAATCGTGTTGAGCATCTTTTCAGGCATCCTTCAGCTGTCCGTGCATCTTCTTTGGTGAAATGTCTACTGCAGTATTTTGTTCATTTTAAAATCAGGTTGTTCATTTTCTTACTGAGTTGGAAGGTTTACTTTTTTTTTTTTAATTTAAAAACTTTGATAGGATTTTAATTTTGTAAATCCAATTTGAAAAGTAAGCAGTTGGTTAAGATGGTTCATACTCATAGCATTCATACCTTTAAAGTCCTTGCTCCTGAGCCTTTAAATCTTTAGTCCTGCACATTGTCCGAAGACTGGGGAGGCAGGCACCCTTCATTTCAGAAGAAGCTATCACTACCCAGAGAAGAAAGGTGAGGGGCTCAGGTTACCCATTTTTTGGATGTAAAGCCAAGATATGGAGTGTGCCCCTTCTGGAGACGGGGAGACTAAGGGGAAGATTTCTCTCTCCCCAGGGCTCAGTGTGGGGCCTGGTATTGTCCCAAGGCCTGCCAGGAAGCCGAACTGATGTGGACCTTGGACCCAGGCCTTGGACCTGTGTTTGGTCGAAGGGTGTGCTTGTTTGCTGGGTTGGGAGCCAGGGGCCCAGGTGCCCGGAGATGATGGTCAGAGGGTCCTGTTGGCTTTGGCTTGGCTTCTCATCCTTTGGGCAGCTGAAATTCACAGGTGGTTCTCCTGGCAGCGGGGCACCTTGTCTTTTCTCACTTCATAAAGATTTCTGTCTAGGGCCTCCACTGTGGCGGTCCAGCTGTACCTCCTCACCCTTGGTGATCCCGCCCGGCAGGAAGATTCACTGCCCACACGTGCCTTCAGGCGCTTTGGGCTCTGGGCCTGCGTCTGGGCAATGGTGGAGGTCCTGGGCCTGCACAAGTGCCAAACTTTCCTGGGAGACTGGAAACACTCCTTCCTCCCCTGGAGCAATGGACCTTTGCTGATCGCTACACCAGATGGGCAGCCCCAGACTCTCATCGGATTGGTGGGAGGAAGCTGCAGGATGTTCTCTGTTACCCTGCTCCAGAGAGAGCTACGGCTCTTGGAATATGGGGGGATTTTTAGTTGAATATTAAAATCTCGCAGGAGCCATTTTTCCCTTGGGTTCTCACCATTGTCCCTCAGGGACTGTTTGATTTCTCCCTTTCCCTTTGTGGCCCTGGAGGCCCCTAAAGTGAAGCCACCCCGGGTGGAGGGCCTGAGCCCGTGGGGCAGGGCTCCTTAGACTGTGAACTCTGCATCCAGAGGAGCAACCAAATGTGCCTTGCAGCTGCCACAAGCCTTCATTCAGTGGCTCATTGAATTCAGTGGAAAGAGGTGTTAATAGAGTTAGGGGAAGTGATGCTATTAAAAAAAGCGACATTGTGTGATTCTGCTCTGTGTTTATTCTCCTTCAATGACTTCCAGATCAAACTTACACGGTTGTGCATCAAAAGATGCCTGTTCTGGACTCCGGTTGGAGGCAAACGAGCTATCCAGCAAGTTCACTCCTCTCCCCCTGCCCGTATCTTGTTCCTAGGGATGATTGCCAGCTGGTGCAGGGTCGCCTCAGCCCCGGTAGGAGCTGGGTCTTGGTGTCAGCAGAGGAGAATAATAGCAGGGTCATGTGTCACCCGACGGTGGGGCTGCCAGCCTCAGCCTCCGGCCATGATTAGGGTTTCTCTAGAGCTCCAGTCTGAAGATCCCAAGGGTGGGGAGTGAGTCTGATGCTCAAGAAAGGGATCAGAACTCTGTGTTTTTCCTCCCTCCCTGATAAGATGCAGGGAAGTCGGCCAAAGGTTTTGGGAGCTCCAAATGGCGGCGGGTGGTGGGGGGTTTGTTATTAAGGCTGATCTGACTGGCGTCGCAGAGACTCTCTGAGAACTTGCTTTCTCCATAGTTAATGAACTCGGTGGAGGGGATTAAGAGGTATAACCTTCCAGTTATAAAACAAATAAGACATGGGGATGTAGTGTGCAACACAGGGACTATATCCAGTAATACTGTGACACCTTGGTGCGGTGAGAGAGGGAACTAGACTTACTGGGGTGATCGTTTTGTAACGAACATGAACACCAACTCACTGTGTTGTACACCTGAAACCAATACAATGTATTAGTGTATGTTGATTATTCTTCCATTAAAATAAATAAATAACCGTTATTATACCAGCTATAATAACGGGTATTTATTCTTCTTAAAAATAAGAACTGTTGGCAAAACAAACAAATAAATATAAATAAATACATAGCAGTTAAATGAATAAAATGACCAAAAAATAGTTAGTGCTTGGAGTATGTAGTGTTCAGTTGTATAAGATCTCTGGGGGATGGTGTAATCATCCCACTGCCTGAGACCACCAGGGCTCTTCTTCCCCCACCCCACCCCACCCCACCCCCGCCCCTGTCCAGGGAGAACACAGAGAAATCTCTAAACTATGCATTCTCAATGGAGGCAGAGATATCAAGAAGGGGAAGTTGATTGGGGGTGGGGGGGAGGCAGGGGGACAAAAGAACTCTTGTTCTTTTTTCATCTAAAGCATAGATACACATATAGTACAGAAGCAGATACACATGCAGTGTCTGTGTTATGAATATTTCATTAGGAAGGCGATTAGGAAGAAAAAGTCTAAAAATGCTCTTTAGCTGGGCAGTAATGAAAACAAGTTGAGAGACACTGACCTGCACTGAGGCTTTGGGGGATCTTGATGGAAGTAACCCAGAGTCCTGAAGGGCGGCAATGTCTACACTCACTCCTGCCCTGTAGACATTCTTGCTCTGCAGAGAGCGGCCGACTCTGCTGGGACCCGGTGCGTTAGGACTTTGTTCCCAGGAACTTTGTGCTCCCGTCATCTACTGTAGAAATTTCAAAGCCAGCCGAGGCTTCAGTTTCTCACATCCCCTTCTATCTTGCTTGCCCCCCTCCTCTCCCTGGGAATGGGCGGGCACGGTGTTTCATACTTAGAAGTATTCTAGGGATTCCTGATTCCAGTTCAGCATACTGGAGAGAGGATGGTCCTTCCTGCCTTTTCTTCCTTTTTAGGGGAGGATAGAGAAATAGCTAGGTGTTTGGGAGGGAATACAGCAGCTAGGTGTTTGGGAGGGAATACAGCACAGCCTCTTGTTTTCCTGAAGCTCTTCAATGAGGGCCACTAGGTAGTCGGCTGGTACCTTTCACAAAAGGGCAGGAAGGAACTGGGGACACCAGGATTTGAGGCCACAAAGTATGCCAGCCTTACCCTAACATGCCTGGCCCAAAGCTCAGGACTGCTGGGGAAGGTACACACCCACCCCCACACTCCAGCTTTCCTGCGGGGAGGACCATGGCTGATAGTCATCATGCTGGGTCATGCGGGTTGATGAGGAAGGGCCTTCCAAGACCATGACAGTTGAGTTCCCTTTTGTCCCACCCCTGGGATGGTGAACATACACCTGGATTTGTCTTACTGTTGGTGTCTCTCTGTGGTTCTTTTTTTTCTTCCTGTTCTTTCTTTCTTTCTTTCTTTCTTTCTTTCTTTCTTTCCTTTCTCTTTGGTCTCTTCACTGGGACTTGGCCGGGCCATGTGCAAACCCCAACCATTCAACAGTGCTGGAGAGTAGATAGTATTTACCTCAATAATGGTAGTCTCTTTTCGATTCTTTTTAACCCTCAATTCAGATGACGGGTCGAAGCCGACACCCACGGTGGAGACTCAGCCCGTGTTCGACGGAGATGGTAAGCTCTTGTGTCACTTCTGACTCGTATACTCCCACCCATTTTTAGATTTGAGGAACATCTTTTCTTTGGATGTTTGTATAAACTTTATTATTGGTTTTTTTTTCTTTTTTAATTTCAGTTTTTCCCAGGTTAGGCTGGGTTGTTTTAACCTTTAAAAAAAAATGCAGATCCTCCCAGGAACTGGTACACTCTCTACTTCTGGAAAGGCCCTCTGTTCTAGCCAGGCTTCCTGCCTGGCTGCTGATGTCCAACAATAACACAGCCTGGATGGACCCTTTGAGCTGCCAAGACCAAAGAGCCATGGCTAAGAAAGACAGGCCAACACTGTCCCTTCAGTAGATGAACCAACACTTACAAGTCCCTTCTCTGTGCCCATCATTGTGGAAGGCCTCTGGGGGACCAAGAAGGAGTAGTTGAGATGAAGTCTTTGCTCTCAAGACAATAGCAACTACTGGAGAGCTTTAGATGTTAAATTATGTGGTCTTAATTTTTATTGTAGTGGACGTTTTTGGGAGAAAGGAGATCACAGTGGTCTGGGGGAAGACTATGTGAAGAGATGGGACCCAGGCTGGATCGTGAAAGGGGAAGGGAAGAATCAGGGCAGTGGGGGAACTGGTATGGACAGAGCGGGGGAGTATGGTGAGGCTGGGGTATAGTAGGAAAGTAGGAGGAAAGAGATTGGTTAGTGGACCTGTAGTGACAAAGTTGGACCTTGAGAGCATTTGAGAGGGAATTCTAGGGCAAGAGACATAGTATTGCTGGTAGGAAGATAGAGGCTGAATGTCCCTGGGGGTATGAGGGCTAGATAGGAGGAGTGTGGGGTGCAGAAGGCTGGCCTCTATTTGAGTTTGAGCTGCTCATGGCCTACATTCTTCAGTGCACTTTGCCATATACTCCAGGCTCCCATGAGGGGAAGTAGGAAGCTTGGCAAAATGCAGTTTCTAGAAAGTCTGACACCGGGGTTCGGCTGTCAGTGCAATACACAGCAAACTTTGAGCAGCTTTCAGCTGAGTGTATCCAGACCTGGATCACGAGACTGGACTGGGAAACAGGAATAAAAAGAAATTATGCCACTGGTCAGTACTGTGCCTACGGATGTCCCGAGCAGAGGCCCACCTCTAGGTAGAAGGACTGACATGTGAGCTCTCCTTTACAACTGGTCATTTAGTGGAACATACATACGTGTGTTTATGCCTAGAAATTCACATGTTTCTGTGATCCACAAATCTCCTGGATTTTTGGCAAGTCGGGGATCTCGAGGGATCAGATGGGAAATGGAGACCATGTTACTTTGGGAGATCACCCCAGCAATCTCACTGAAGGACTCATCACTCTTGAGTTTGGGGTCCTCCCGATTCTCATACCACTTGTCCATCGTGTGACCAAAGCCCCAAAGGGCCTAGAGATCTCCCCCAAGCTCTCTGGATGGAGGAGTCAGTCTGTGTCCCTGAGAAACCATTAGGAAGGATATTGACGCACACATTGGACTCACCACTTTCCTTCCCATGTGGAACAGAGTCTCAGCAAGCTGAAATCTGCTGTGGCTCAGCCGTTTCCTCCAAAATGGTCTCTGTGGTTTGCTTGGCATTCATTTGTTGATTTATCCCCTTTAAATCTTCTTCCAGGGAAGCAGCTGAGAGAGACTTGGCTTGGCCCATGCTCCTCACCTCCTGGGATAATATTTTTATTCCTGGATGGAGCAGCTCAGCGCCTCTGGACTTAGACCACTCTACCTCTGAGCAGGGGAGGCCCTGGTTGGCTCCCATGAGCTGGCGGGGAGAGGAGCTTCCGTAGTGAGAAGGGAGAAGTGTTGGGACAAAGTGGATGTGAAATGAGGAAGAAAGCTCAAAGCCTTGATTACTCAGGCTTTAGAAAAAGTTCCTGAAGCCTGGGGGCTACCCTCCAAGTTAACCACTCCCTTTGCCCAGATTTTCTCACTTCTTCTTCTTCTTCTTTTTTTCCTGCCCCAGAAATTACAGCTCCTACTCTGTGGATTAAGCACCTGGTAATCAAGGACTCCAAACTGAACAACACCAATGTGAGGAATTCAGGTAAATAATCTGCCTGGGATTGTGTATGTGCCCGAATCACTTGCAGTTGCCCCATGGTTGCTCCGTGACTACCCGCGGTATGGGCTTGGGCAAGTCATCTAATGTGTCTTGTCTTCAGCTTCTATAGCTATAAAGTGAGATTAGATGAGTGAATCCCTTCCAACTTTAATTTTCTTCAATTAGTAGCTCAGGTATCATCTTTCATGAGGAGCTGATCTTTTAGCAAAAAATCTTTTAACTATATGTTTTTCTGTTTTAATTGACTCTCTACATGCCATGCAGAAGAATTTGAAAAAAAAAAAAAAAAATGACCTGGCATGGAAATGTTGGACCTCAAGGCTTAGGAGACTTGGTTCTATGTATTTTTTTTTAAAGATTTTCTTTTTAAAGTTTTATTTATTTATTTGAGAGAGAGAGAGCATGAGAGGAGAGGTCAGTGGGAAGAGCAGACTCCCTGCTGAGCAGGGAACCTGATGTGGGACTCTATCCCAGGACTCCAGGATCATGACCTGAGCCGAAGGCAGTTGCTTAACCAACTGAGCCACCCAGGAGCCCCAGTTCTATGTATTTTTTAAGGCTCCAAATAATTGCTTACAATCATGTCGTTTCTGGTCTCATCCTTTGAGGGTCTTGTGAGTGGTCAGGTTTGGTACTGGCTGAGCTCCTTGTAGAAGGGTGATGAGTTTTGGAGGGTGACGAGTTTTGGAGGGTGATCAGATTCATAGGACTCTTTCATAGAGTTCGTTTATCATCAATGAAGACCAAAGACAATAAAGTTCATTTCACCATCAGTAAAGACCGGATGTCCACCGACAGGAAAGTGTGTTAACAAAGCCAATCTGTATCTCCATTGTGGGGAAATCACCCTTCTTTTCGCCTAGGACTTCATTGTGAGAAATGCCCCTCTGCATAATTTATGCCTGCATAAATTTGGTGAATTTCATTTCAGCCATATCATTTTTTCCCTATCGATATCAAGGTCTATAAATAAAAGATCCATCCCTTTGGACTGATGGGTAGTTTTAGAAGACCTTTAATTAGTGAGTGGGCTATCATTGAGCCCCTTTAGGTGTATCCGTCTGTCAGCTCTAGCCTAAAGGTGGGAGTGGGGGAACTCAAGTGTACGAAGGAAGTTACCCATTTTGGTGACCCCATACAGCATCGCTGGATTTTCTCTGTGATGTGGGCAGGTCAGTACCTCCGCATGTGTCTGGTTCCCTGATTGACAAAAGGTGGAAGTAGGGGATGATGGGGTGGGAAGAAGACCAGGTGAGTCCCGTGGGCCAGGGTCTTGGACAGAACAGTGCCGTGATTAAAGCACTGGTGTTGGAATCAGCAAACCTGCATTTGCTTTCAGGCTCCTGTATTTAGTGAGAGATCCAGGCAAGTGAAATAATCCTTCCAGCGCCTCAGTTCTCATCTGGGGTCATGATCTTTCCCTTGAAGGACTTTGGGTAAAGGTTAACTGAGATACTGTCTATCTGGTACTTAACCAGTGCCTGGCTAAGTGGTAAACAGTAAGGACAAGAGAAGCTGAAAGTACATTAGTTATTGCGATCATTATTGCAATAGGAAAAATGGGAATGTTAATGATACCACTTACAGTGAGAATTCTTTAATTCAAGCTTCTTTGTAGAACCTTCTTCCACCTCCCCTCTTGCTGTTAGACAAATGTGATAAGTCAAAGCGACATGGTTTTGGTGCCAATGGTCCCCCTATCCCTGGTCCCCACCTCCTCCCAGCAGGTCTGCAAAGCCTTTATTTAGAGGCGTTATTGTCACTCTGTGACCAGAGGCAGCTATGACAGTCAGCACTCTCTGAAATCCTGCAGCACCGTTTGCCTGGAACACTCACTCGACATTTAGCAGTTGCTTCCAGAAATTGCTTTCATCTACCAGTGGTTAATTTCTCTACCAAGGCTCTAAACTCTGTGAGGGCAAGGGCTTTGTTGCCTGCCTATTATATCTATTATAGAATCTAGCTCACTGTATTTGAATGCTCTGGGGGAGGACAGAAAAGACCATCATCACCATCATCATCATCATCATCAAAATCGGAATCATCTTTTCGGATCCTGCACACCTTACGTGTGTTATCTCCTTGAAGCTTCACCACAACCCAATGAGATAAGTGTTGTTATCACCTCCATCTGACAGGTGAAGAAATGGAGTCTGAGAGAGAGGAAGTAACTTATCCTGGGTCCCAGCTAGTAAGGGGTGGGGCTGGGGAAAGTGATTGATCTTTGGGAACAGAGTGCTTGTGTTCTTGGGCTCTTTTCTCGGAGTCAAGTAAAGTGGTGATGTGAAGCTATTTGATGTTTACTTCTGCTCGAGTTCTTCAGCTTTCCATTCCTACCTGCCCTGGATAGTTGCCAACTGGATGACTACTGGGTCTTCATGGAGTCATGGTATCCAGGCAGGTACAACCGCCTTCCTTTTATTGGTGTGACCCAGCCATCTTCATTTTTTCCTAGTTGGCTCCAGTTATGTCTGGAAGGTTAGTGTGTAGAACAGGAAAGTTCAGGGAGAGCTAAAGCTTCCCTGGGAGAAATTGAGGCCAGCAATAATTATCAGAGATCGAGACCTTAGGCATTTTCTGGTAAACTGAGGACTTTCCCCATCATGATCGAGTGGTAATAATGAGTACCTGTCGATCCTTTGGACAGAATTATGTATAAAAAAGCATGGTGTCACAAAGGCATTTAGGCAGGGACTGGCAAATGGCCAGCTGCCTTTTCATGCAAATAAAGTTTTATTGGAATACAGCCACACCCACTTGTTTACATATCACCTATGGCTGTTTGGGGGCTGCAACAGCAGAGCTAAATAGTTGTGACAGAGCCTGTCTGGCCTGCAAAACCTAAAATGCTTTCTATCTGACCCCTTCCAGAAAGCAGTTTGTTGGCCCCTGGTCTGTGGGTCGGAATTAGAAGCATCTGGACGGGAATGTGTGCATGGGGGTGTCTTTCTCCTGGTGCCTGGCCCCTCTCATAGACCAGGCAGAAGTAGGGGCCGTGCCTCGGGAGATGTTTCCCGACATGCCCAGGGAAGCCTGCATCGTCAGCTCAGGGACTTGGGGCAGCTCACGTGGCCCTGCCCCGTCCAACGTGAACCTTTGCTGAGCTTCAGCATTCTGTCCTGGTGCATTCTCTCACAAATGGGATGCCGGGGAGGCTTCCTGACGTTTGGCTTTTGTGGGCAGAGCTAGGGGTCATTTTTATACAGAAGTGGTAAACCTCGTAATGGCATCAGCATGGGCTTCGGTATCAGACAAACCAGCAGACCTGGCTTCCCGTGCTGGCTTCCCGTGAGAGGCTGAGTGACCTTAAGAAAGTTCATTAGCTGTGAAACAAGGTTCTGAGTGCATTGCAGGGTTCTTCTGAGGATTCAACGATATATGTGAAATGCCTGACACAGAGTTAGGTATATCATGAATGATTTAAAAAATAATGGCTACTCTTGACGGAATATCTTTAAATCTTGTGCCAAGCGCTCTTCATGTTATCTCGTTTGGGTTGATGAGAAGTCAGATAACACGTTAGTGATACTCATGTCTGGGCAGCTGGCTCTGGTACAGAGTGGAGCCTCTGGGTCAAGCCCCCGAGGCAGTTTCCCATTGGAGTTTGCCAGAAGATTCTGGGTTAGAAGGGCATCAGCCCCCACCCATGGAAAGGGTGAAGCAGGACTCAGAAGCCAGTCTAGGTGAGCGCTCTTCCCACTCTCTCTTAGAGGCAAGAAGGCCATCCTATTCCCTTCTACCACCCCAAACATCCTTCTTTCACACTCAGACCCTGTGACGCCAGGTTTGTTTTCTGGCCTGGGGACTGTTGATGTTGGAAAGGTTCCACTGGGCAGCTGAAGCTTTCCAATAACATGACACATATGCCTGCAGACTTATCCTGTCTCCTTCTCTCCTCCCGGGGGTGTCGATCCTTGTTTTAAGGCTTTGTCTTGTGTTCCCCATGGTCAGTATTGCCTTTTGAGGACTTAGCAGCCTCAGCGTCGATGGGTTTGCCCCTCTGGGCTCCTGTCTCTGATTCTGGTCTCTGTTGCACCAAGAGCTCTTGGGAAGACAGCATACCTGGCCAGCCAACACCCTAGAACTTGACACCAGCCATCCTCTCACATACGAGTGTTGGCCAGAGACTGTGTTCTGCTTTTAGGACCAAAGATGAACTCTTGCTGAGCTTTTGGTATCAGAAGCTGGCTACCAAAGCATTTCTTAATATAACTAGAGTATAATAATCTTTTTAATCATCTGCATTTTATAGAAGAGAGCAAAGAGATTAAAGAAATGATGAAAACTAGGCTTTGTCTCATTCTTCATCCCATATTTCATGTCCCACTGCTTCTAATTTTACTATGTGCAGACACTTTCCTACAGCTATGATTTATAAAAGTCTCTCTCTCTCTTTCTGTATGACAGAATTCTGTGCTTTCTTGTCTGGGAAATACTCTCAGGAAATATGGTCGTGTGAGCCTTACCTCTTCTCTTGGAGCAGCACAGTGATGCCCTCATGGCACACAGGCCCTTTCCCTCTGCTCCCTCGTGGCTGGCTACCTCTTGGAGCCACTGGTGGGGTCCTTCGACTTCTCTTCTTCCTTCCCCATCCCTTTCCTTTCCTTTCCTTTCCTGCCACCTTTCCTCATTAACTTCTTTCATGATCTGATCTGGGATTTTGAGAAGGCCCTAGAACTTGATCCTGGGGTGAAATCCAAAAGCACTTGCTTTTCCTCCCTTGCCTCTTTGCCCGGCAGAGCTTCCTTCCAGACATCCCTGAATGTGGGAGCGTGTGGGAACTCTGCTTCCCTGAGACAGAGCCATCAGCAGGGTTACAAGGTGAAAATCATTTCTTGTAAGTTTTGCCACGAACACAGCCCCGTCTCCTCACACGTGGGAGCGTTTGCCTACCTCACCGTCCGCATGGCCGGTCAGAGGTTCACAGCACCCCTGCTCCTTCCTACCTGCTGGTGTCCGAGCCCTGCTCCTCTCGGCCCGCT